ATTTTTTGAAAATCTTAATTATACCGCTGAGAAATAGTCTTAGATATCTTAGAAAAAAATTTCAGCTCAATTGGATAAAATTTCAGGGGGGTCGTAATGGACTACAATGCAGCCATATGGAAAATCGAGGCTTTCCAGAAAACTCTAAAAAAATGCGGTTCAAATTTTTTTCCTCGAACATGTGTCTCATTATTTTTTGTACTCTGTCTGTGGTAAAAATTTCAGCGTGATCGGTCGTACCGTCTTCGAGAACCAAAAACGGCCCAAAAAGAGAGGGGGTACACTTGAAAGAAGTCATAATTATCTATCATCGTTTAATAAAACAATTAGCAAAAACAAAATTCACTTCATATAATATATATATATATAGATGTGTTTATATATAGAGAAAAATGTTTTTCTTTATTTATCTTCTTTTACATTGATATGTTTTATCAATAAACAATATAGAATAACAACAAATACCTTTTTATCCGCCTTAGGCTGTATAAGACGAGTGGTAACTAATGCCATAATAATTGTTTTAATATTGTTAACATTACATTAAACATCTTTTAAAACTTTTATCCATGGTACCCAAGTGACGACGCTCATAGACTCTACGTTTTTTTTTCTTTCACTTATACACATAGGCAATCTTTCATACTAATTATTGAACGTCCTTTTTACCCGATAATAGTATAAATATTTACACAAAAAAGAAAAACATCACGGATGATTATAAATTTTTTGTTTTAAATTACCTGTCGTTTATCATAATCAGAAGGTGATCGATGTCTTCTAACATGAAATAAACGTTCGAATGGCTGTTTTCCATGATAGAGTCGTAATCGATGATGTCGTGAATGAGAGTCTTTAGTTTCTGGATTTACTGTAAGGTCTGTAGGTGCCATATTTTCATTTTGATGCAAACGTCGCCAACGGAATATATGAAACATTTTGTCAGTGTTCTATTTCAATCTTGTTTAATATATATGTATGTATGTATAGAAAAGATATATATGCTATCAATTGTCGCTTGAGCAAAGAATAACAAACGATGAAAGATGAAAAACAAAATAGACCGATTCAAGAATGTATATGCGTCAATTAATCGCAAGTACTATTGTCATTTCCTTTCTAGAATACGCTTTCTTCTTTTTTTATCAAAATAGGCGTATCAAAGATAAGACAGATAAAAAAGAATGCAAAGAACATCTTTAGAAAATCAAGCCATAGGATGAATATGCTCTTTTTACATGTTATATACTTATTGATCGACAAGAGGCGGCGACCTTTTTTTTTTATTCGGATGACGTGCGTACGTGCTCACTGCTGTGAAGATTATATGTGGAGTACTATTGACTATGAAAATCTATTATCGGTAGCAAACATGCGAACAGACATTGAGTGTTATTGTCATACCAAAAGAGAAGACGACAAATGTATCATAGTCGTTAGTAGCTTGCATCAAAACGATTTTTTTATTTACTAGTATATTATTCTCTATAATGCATAAGGATTAATTGTCACAAGCATAATGATTTATATAATCAGCATACAAAAATACAACATTTGGATGTTGTGAATTAAACCTTTTGTCACATTATACTCAATGTAATTAGGCTATTCTTTTGTCAGATATAAATAATTCAGCTCCACGAAAGAATTATTTATGACAAATTTCTGAGAGAGAAAGACTTGTTGTTTTTTTATTTATTTTTTATGAATTTTAAATGAAAAAAAGTCACTTATTTGAGTAAGATCTGTTTTTTTTTGAACGTTTTGTGATTTGGCTTTAAGTATTTTCTTATAATTTAAGTTTGTAGATGAAATCTGGTTGTTAAAAAAAAAAGACCATTCGTACACTTAGAGAATGAAATCTATCATAATAATTACAAAGAGTGATGTTTTCGATATTTTTTGGATTATGTTAATTTTTCTGAAGTGTTTAATTGTATTGAGTTTTTATTTCAAGTTTAATAGAAAATTTTTAAAAAACCAAGTGTTTACACGCGACTTATTAATCAAAAAGAAATCTGACTTCAGCTTTTTATCCCTTGCGAAATTTTCCTCAATGAATACTAATGATCTGTTGATAAAGCTTGATTTTCGAATATGATATCTACACTTATCATCAAATCAACTCTTTCTCTCTTAATATATATTTATACACATATAATTATAGCAAGAGAAATAGATTAGAATATATATTATAACTGATGAGGCTTAAATTCTAAAGAAGAAGTCTTAAATATAAGCTTTCTTACAAAAACTGTTTCGTGGAACTTTCGAAATGTTTTTCAATGAAAAATATAGTTACTATAAAATTCAAGTCGAGATTTTGTGGTTCTCTTCTCTTAATAGCAGCGTGTCAGGAGTCGTATGGAAAGATATAGATAAACGATCATTGTGTACGTTTCCATAGGAACCGAGGACAACACATTGTTTAGCAATAAAAGTCTGAATAGCTGGAATATGTTTATGAATGACTCAATTAGTACACTTTTCGATTTAAGTGCAAATAAAAATTTATATTCAAGATGTCAGGAATAACATATGGTAGCAAATTGATTTGCTACAGTCGTCATATGATCAACATGAAGAAGAAAGTGAATTGATCAAGTTACAGATTTGGGAAATGCATAATATCAGCATTTCTGAGTTTGCTAAGATATACAATCATGTTCCGAGATCTGATCTAGATATAATAAATATGGATAACAGACTCATTTTCAAACTAAATCAATAATTAGAATAATAATAATATATTCAATCAAGAAAAATGGAAAATAAAAAAACACCAAGCAAACAATAACAAGGCAAATAAAAAATAGCATGCCAGTAAAAATAAAAACAATATTTTGTTTGAAATGCAGACATTAATAAGGGAGATCATTTTGCTTACAATCAACTATTCCTGAAGAATAACTATAGGCTGCTAGAGGGCTTTTACTTAATGTATTTTGTATTAGTACAATAAGGTTAAAAACCACATATGGATTCCATATTTTAGCCTCAAAGGAACCGTACTGAGAAGCTTTTGCAATGACAAGGAAAAGAAAAACATTTATGCATACAATGCTTGGATACAGTAGCCGATATGGTTGAGTGACTACTTTTTTCGACACATATCTACAATTTATTATGCTTACAGCTCGGTATCACATGCTATGAAATAATTCTAAACTAGTCACTAACGACTGTCTGTCTCAGATCATCTGTCCGATAGTATATTGACTACCATTGTGACATATAATTGCTTTTGTAGTTAGTTAGTGTGTATGGAAAGTTCAATAAATTAAGCACAAGAACTCTTCATGAGATCAGCCTTCAGTCCAGAGCTACAACTAGTCGTAGTTTCAGGGAATATATGGGGCTATTGAATTTGTCGTTCGACAGTATCTTCTATGGCAAGGTTATTCTTTATTTTTTCTTTTGATGAGAATAATCAAAGGTTTTATATGATTAAACATCGATAATTTCAGACGGCTTCGATTTATCTTATTCAAACAATTATTGATATTAACGCTAATGAAATAGATCAATGGATAAATCTGCTTTGAAAAGTTGTATTAAGTATCCATAGATATAATCTCAATAAAATTCTCAAATACCGTCTCACTTTAGCCTTTTTTTTTCGATTCTCTCTTTAACAAAAGCTATTGTTTTACTATGTTTCTTTTCAGAAGAACAGGAAGCTAAGAATAGTGACACATTCTATCAATCATTAATCATAAAATACGAGGAAAATTAAAAAAAAAGAAACGTAGTTCTGTATAACTGTTTGATGAATATTTATCGATCAAGTAAAAAAGAATACAGAGAAGTATTTATGGTACCTGTTGTCTTTGAGATAAAATTCGATCGATATCATTATTATATTTTCTTTTCAATTGTTCTGTTCGGTGTAAAATGAAAGTAAACCGTTGAATAAATGGTAAAAATTTCTTGTGTCTTTCATTCTTATAAATAGGCTTTGTATATGTTCGACTGATTTTCCACGATAATAATTTCCATGGATATGAATACATTGAAAAATAGACTAAGATCAACTAATGCTCGATAACAAAAAGATCTTTTTCTTGAAGGCAAGAACAACAATAACAAAGTACAATCATTTGTCTCTAGTCATCTTTGTTTTGTTTCTCCGCCAGACTTTTCTATGTTCCCTGAATCATTCATTACTTGTTTGTTTTTTATCTTATACATTCACTTAAGTAATTGATCATTCATACATTACACCAGATACATGCAAGACTTGCTGTTTTTTTTCCTATTTCTACATTTGATAATGAAGAAAAATCGATATAATCTCAATATCAGATAGAAAATCCAGATATATATATGTTAAGTCAATACAACTGATGGCGACAACCATTGACGAATAATGAGTTATCATTAGTATAGAATTTTTATTTTGAATCTAAGTACAACTATTATTGAATGGAATTAATATCAAAGTATATAATGTCAACCTAAATGAGGTTTAATATATCATAATAATTCAAAATAATTTATTAAGTTCATTTAGATTTTGATTATTATCAAGATATGATTGTATAAAAATCTGTCAAAACATTGTTCTATATGATTTCCTTTAAAAAAACCATTTTTTTTTGACAGATATGAAAATATCTTATCAAGAATTACGAAGTTGTTTAAAAAAACTTGATAAAAAAGGTTTCGCAACCTAACGGGTCAAAAACAAAAATTCTACATCAGTTTCATTAAATACTTTTTGCAGAACTTGATGATATATATATATACATATAAATATTACTCACTCTATTAATAAAAGGTAATAATTGCCAGATAGGACTTCTAGATTGTGGTCGTTGTACAGGTAGTGTTGTTGACGCATGAGAACGTCGAGTATTGGTTACAAGTGAGCCCCTTTGATCAGTTGCTGAAGAATGTCGGTGTAGAGAACGTGATTTTGTTTGAAATCGAAGAAAATGCATATTCGGTTACTTTTTTTATCGAAATAACTATTTTAGGCACAACTATCAATAACTATATATATACTTCCTTAAATGACTGGAAGATTTCCAAAAGAAAGAGAGAAAGTGTGTGTGTGTGAGACAGAGAAAGAATTGGTAAAATGCTTAGACAAACACATCACAAAGCCATCAATAATCTATTTGGTTTTATTTATTGTATTTCCTGTGTATGTGCGATCTATCCCTTATGACGTCGTTTGTTAGATTCAAAAGAAATAAAGAATCACAATAAAATCTTTACTAATGAATAAGTATAATATATATATATATATATATATAAGAGATATATCATGATAAAACCTAATGAATATAATCATTGACTTTATAGTTGATGCATAGAAATAATTTTTTTTTTCTATATAAAATAGAAAATTATTTGATATGAGTCAATGTATGAAAGCATTTTCCTTCTATCTAATATATCCATAAAATGCAAATTGAGAAAAATATTATTAATAACAATAGACAAGATTGTATGCAAACTAATGACGATTATAATCCTTTTTCATTAGCATCATTTGACAAGATGTTTTCTTCGTGCTTAGCCAACAAAAACGACACTCTGTCTTATCAATACTATTAATCTTCGTATAACTACCATCGTAAATAACTACACAATTTTATTTTCACAATCAGATATAGATAGTTATCAGGATAATCGGCAATATGAGCACATGAGAATGTGCTTTTTTTCTCTTGTTCTTTTGAATATTTATTATGATAAGACCTATGTTTAGGGAATAAAATGAAAAATAATGTTCTTCTTTTATCTTTACATTATATATACGTGTATTCAGTTTAGACATACATCGTATTGAAACTTATTTTGTATTTTATAAGTTTTGTGAAAATGAATTACTTGAATAATAAAGTGAACTATTTTGGGACAATTTTGCTTTGTCATATTTGTCGAATTTGCAAAAAAATTTTTTTTAAATGATTAATTTTACAGATTA